TCCCCTCCCCTCCCCTCCCCTTCGCCAGGTGTTCATGTGGGTTGGCAAAGAAGCCAATGAGATTGAGAAGAAGGAGGCATTGGCAACTGTTCAGGAATATCTGCAAACCCACCCCAGTGGGAGGGAGATTGACACCCCCATCCTGGTGGTCAAGCAAGGTTTTGAACCACCCAACTTCACTGGCTGGTTCCTGGCTTGGGATCCTAAGAAATGGAGCGTAAGTGAAAGCTGTATCTAAAACTATATCTTCTATATCTTCATTATTTTCTGAAGCTCTGAGGGTAATTAGATCACTCCTGGAATATTTAAAGAGAAACCACCAGCATACAACCTTTTAAAATGAATAAAATACATATTATGTGCATTTGGATATTTAGTGTTACAAATATTTATTAGAATTAGAAGCCTGCCAGTATGTCCAAATTTGTTATGTGAATATGGAATTTCTCCATTTAATGTTGAAGGGGAATGTATTCCATAGCATGATACCATATTTGTATGCTGAGCATTCCTAAGGTTAATATCATTCCGGTACAAAACTCTTCTAATAAGGGACTGTCGGTGCAGAAGCAGAATTTTCTCTCCCCTGAAAGTCCCTCCTTCCCACTCCTTTGCATGGGAGGAAAGGCATTTAGAGCACCTCTTGAGCTAGTGTGGTGTGACCAGGGTCTAGTGCAGATTGGTTGATCGATGTTTCTCAGCTTCCCAGTCTAGGGCTGAGAGTGACTAGCCCAAAGTCTGGCTTGTTTATAAGGGAGTACTCATCTTAGTCCAGCAATGGCGCTCTTCTCTCTCTCAGATGTGTACATCTCAGCTACGGTACCCAGCACTCATACCTAATGGTGTAATAATTCTCTAAATGATGAGCTTTTGTGTTTCTGTAGGAAGGGAAGACATACGAGCAGCTGAAGAAGGAACTGAGAGATGCCAATGACATCATCAGAATCACAGCTGTAAGTTGGTTGCTTACACTGGGAGAACCACTGCCCACGGTTAAGCAGTTGGCTGTAAGAGAAACTGCAGCACAACAGACGCTGCTGTATTTCAGTCATATCCAGCCATTGATCCAGTGAGCTCAAAGGTGGAGACCTAGTGGTCCTTCAGATGTGGCTAAACCACAGTGCCCAACAGATACTAGACACTATGGGAAGATACTAGACATTGTAGTTCAGCAATACCAAAGGCACACATGCTCTTCACCTCTGATATAGCCCTGTATTCTCTGTATCAGCTCTCATGAACTGCTTCCTAAGATCCTTTAAACAGAAAATGCTGGGAACTGAAGAGGTGATTTGCCTGTGAGCTCTGGTCATCTGCATTTTGCTCCATGTTAGATACCCTGTCCTGCAGCCTTACAGATCGATGTAGATGCCCACCGGGCTTGTGCTGGTGCACTGCTGTTCTATCACCTTCCACTACCCATCTCCTCTTTGCTTCAGTACCACACTTAAGAAGGCTTTTGGTTGATGACATGTTTTTGAGTTGCCTGTGCAAGGGTCATTTCTAAGCTTGTGTGCTGCTGAAAGATGGTACTAGTGATAGAATAATTTAAGGCCCCCGTAAGACCAAAGGATCTATTTTCAGAGAAGGTTTCCCACAAGATCCTACACAGTTCATTGCTTTTTCCAAACGCCTTTGCTGGGGACCAGCTATTCTGCCTCATCTCTGCCTCAGGCACAACTCGTCCCCAGTGCAGAGAATTAGCAGGAGAAAACACTGCATACCTAAAACAGGGAGAACATGGGGTAGAATGGGTGGTTCTTACTCTTTAAATTAAGCCATTTGGGGTTTAATAATGAGATATGACTAAACATTTACATCAGGATAAAAGACAGCACCAGATATCTATGTTTGGAAAACATTAGGTAGAAGAGGGGTGGGGAACCTGTGACTTCCCACATGTTCAGCAACAATTTCCAACATCATTCACCATTGGTTGTTATCTGGGGCTGCATCTAGGGTGGGGCCATGAACATCTTCCCTGCTATGGAACGTCCTGCCCAGTCCAATAACCTCTAGACGTTTTGGGAAGCCATTCTAGCTGGGAACTCTGGGAGCTGTAGTTCCACTTCTTTTGAGGATACCAGAAGGCTGGCCCACGAGATGAAATCCAGCTGGTATTTAAGAATCTGCTGTGCTCTGTTTAGGATAACAGACTTGAGACCCTGAGCAGCAGCAGCAGGGGCCCATTCTATCCTCTAGAAGTTCTGCTCTCCAGCCAGGACGACTTACCTGGAGATGTGGATCCTGCTAAGAAAGAGGTGAGTTCTGTTCTGTCAAGCGTGTGCCATGTGCTGAGAAAAGTAACCAGACTTTGCCTCAAAGTTTCCACAAGGACACCCCACAAACATGCTGTTTTAGAATCGAGGGACAGAATTTATCATTTTAGACCTGCAGGTAGTATGTTCCTAATTCTCATGGCTGTACAAACCAGCTCCAATTACTATACCTGGTAAAATGTCAGGCCTCTGAACTCATGAACAGCAAATTAAGAGACAAACCATGACTTAAAAAAAAAAAATACAAATGGGGACTTCAGAGGCTTGAATTGCCTCTCAATGCCAAGTAAAAAAAATCCCCAAATCTTCACCTAGAAAGCTAGCATATCAGGAAGGATTCTAGCCCTAACCCTCTCACTGAAGGCTTATTTTTCCCCTCTTACATAGTCAGCCTGTCGATAAGTAACTAGGACAGTGCATGTTAATTCATTGATCACTGCCTCAAGCCATTCTTCTTTACTCCTTTGCTGGTAGTTTCTCATGGCCTGTGTTCTAAACAGCATCAAGTAATGCTTTTCAGTGCATAATGTTCAGTGCGGTAAGCCTTTTACGTTTCAGTGGGGCAGAATACCCAGTGTGGTTTTTTCCTGCAGTCAAAATAAAGCTCTTAAAAGCAAATTAGTATGATTAATTTAGTCTGGTGGGATCTGC